ACTTCGCTCACATTTGAAAGATGCTGCATAAAAAGAAAGTGCCTTCTATTCCGAAATAAATAATTCTTCACCTTTAAATACAGCACTCCTCAGCTTTAGTTATTTGTAGTATGAGCATTATTCATCTGAACTCATGCACTAGAATATTTATAACTAAGAGCAGAAGTGAAAGACATCAGATGTAGAGAAAAATTTCCTTCCTCGGAGCTGGGAGGAATCTGGCTGCTTCTGTTCATTAGTAAAGGTTGCACAGCAATATTTTGTAAAAAGTGGTGCCATGGCAGCTTGGTGGTTGGTATTGCATGAGGTATTAAGACCCATCCTGGAAAACCAGTGTTGGTTGCAATGCCAAAGAGTCAATGAAATGATCCCAGCTGCAGAAGCAAACTGCCTTTCAAATTGCTTTTGTTTACAAGCAGCTTAAAACAGAAAAAACATACATTGTGAGAAAAAACATACAACATTCATTGACACATTCTATCAAACCCTTGCTTATATATACAAACACTGCACCTTTGAAAATGCTGCCAGTGCACAGCATCCCATTTGGAGCTGATGGTCAACCTAATGGGATCAGGGGAGGAACAACAGAAACAGCATACATTGTCTCTTCAAAACTGAACTAGAGGATTAGAAGAATGTGTTCATCCTCCATGTAACACAATCCTACTTTGGGCGGGTTTGTTTATTTTTTTGCCTTAAAAAAATAGCAAAGACTGATGAACAGAAAAAAATGTTTGGAAAATTGAGGTCAGCTGAAGCTTGGTAAGTAACAAAGGCTTCCTGATGCTGCTGTAGAAAGAGCACCAGCAGTATAGATAATAGCAATAATTATGAACTCAGTGGAAAATAAAGTGACCATCTTTCAACCCACTTATCCTTGGCATTAAAGCCGCTAATCCCTATAAACCTGGCTTTATTTCGTGGTCAGCCACCAAGAACTGTATTAAGTGAACATTAGATGTTATTAAGCTCATTACACAAGTGATGAAATGTCAGTTCCCCTCACGTTAACTGAGAGAAGGCACTTGATATGGTGCTTTGGGATGGCTTTTTTTTGTCATGGGGGGGACTTGGTAGCAGATGTGACTTCATTACTGACAGTGAAGAGCTGTAGGACTCTGAGTGCATTTCTTTCTCTGATCAGTACCAGCAGAATCTCTCAGAAAAGACAATGTGAGTCTGGGGTGATCTTTGTCAGTCCTTGTGCTGACTCCTTCCACCAGTGCTTGCAGATATTGACTGAGGTCCTTCAGCGAGCCATGATGAAAAATGTGAAACCTGTGGTTTTGGTACTATTTCTGTGCATCCCCACTCATCCCATAGTCCAGGGGATATGGACCAGGCAGGAACAGTGCCCTGGTTTAGCTGAGCTGGAGCATCAGTGGGCTGATCTTCATCAGACCTGACCTTCAGTACAGAAGTAGCTTTGTAGGCCATTATATTTCTCAGGCTTCAGCAGCGAACGAGCGTACTGGATACCAACCACTCAGCCATGCCCACTTCACATAGCTGGGAACACCACCAGGCTCCTCCCTCCCTCATAGCCCTTAGCAAGACCCACTCCTGTTATCCATAACCTGACTGGCAAGACATTCTGGAATTAATTTCCTTCTTTCAATAGCCTCTTGAGGGTTTCAAATACCTGAGGGGACTTTGCCTCATTAAATTACCCTCATGAGACTCTCCATTCCCCACCTCGAGACCTGTAAAAATCACACTTTTTCATTTCTTCTACTGAGCTGCAACTGTCTCATAAAAACCCATCTTCTTCCCCACGGTGCAGAGATCCTCCCAGTAATTCTAGCCACTTGGCATGGAAAACAAAAGCTAGAGCAAGTATGCAGTGATATTGTAAAACATAGGGCTAAGAACCAGCCTGCTGAAGCCACAGAGAAAGACAGCATAGGAGCTAAAGTTCTCCTTATCTGAAATGTCAGTGCTTGACAGGAGTTGTTTGAGGCACTTGAAGCTGGTTCCATTTTACAGAAACTCAAATTAGCAGCCCACAGAGCACGGACGCTGAAGCAAATGGCTGCTTTCCTTCCAAGCTCTCCAACCAAATTTGTGGAGAAGATGCTTTGCTCCCTCAGGAGGTCAGACAGCATATTTTCCAAGGAAACTCTAGAAATATGGAAAAAAAAAGAGAGAAGTATCTGAGAAATCCATTTGCACTGCCAGTATTTTAACTGCATTCTTGCATGTATAGGCTGTTGGTTTCCCTCCAGAGAGGAAAACATTTAATCTAAAGATCAGCCCTTTCAAGAATGAAGGCTTTTCAGTGGTACAAAAGAACGGAATTTGAATGAATTCCAAATTAAATTTCAAATAATCTACATTGAAAGTACCATTAACCTAGGAATTGCCTGGATGTGATTAACAAATGGTGATATTTAACAAAAAGGAGATTTCCCAGAAGAAATATTAATTAACTTTGTTCCTTTTTTTCCTTATAATTTCTTAGTTCAAAACACTTAATGGCGTCTGTACTACCTGTGACTCTTTGTATCTGAGATTTTAATATTCTCCTTAAGAAGACCTAACGCAATGCTTTAACTTTTGTCCATTTTACTGCTAACCCTCAGTGGGGGAGGGGGGAATCGCACACTATAAATGGTATAATCTATCATCCCACTCATACATTGTTTATGTGATTGCTATCATGCATGCTGATTTAGGACACTGATCCATCATTTCCTGTGCTCCAGGTTGGCAAGTGGCTCTGTGTTAACTCTTTCCTCATGCGTCCTGGGAACGTGCTCAGCAGGGCAAACCCCCTGGCAGTCATTGAAGAGCTGAAAACACATCTTTCTGAGAAAACGTATGTCTTAAAACCTGTGGACTGTCTGAATAAAATTTGCATGAAAACATGAAAAACAACTCTATCTTAAATGATGCAAAAAAGTAAAAGAATGCTGAATTCAATAAAGAGTGGAGGAAATATACCCAGAATATCCTGAAACTTCAGTTAGTGAACAGTTAACTGGAAATGATGGTTAAATTTCAGGAGATGTGAAATATGATTCAGGTTGTTTCTGCATCAGTTGTGGCACTTACAACTTTCAGTCATGGCCTGGGAGCTTTGCAAATGTTTTAAGACTACACTTGCCCCTTCTGCATGCAGAGGGTTAGATCCTCAGCTGCCATAAGAGTTGTAACTGATGAATGTTTGTATTTAAGCATCTTGCATCAAGTATAGATTTTTTTCTATGTCTGTCTTTTAGTGTAACATTTGGTCTGAAAGCCTCCCCAGGGACCAGTGATCAACAGCTGCTGACAGACCAGTTTGGGGGCTTGGCCACCCTGGGGCAGCATCCAATGGAGTTAATGCTACGTATGTACCCTTTGGCCACCCCATAGACTGGGGACATGAAATTTATGTGTACAGCAAAGTTCAGCTCTAGAGAGCTTCACTGTAGCTGCTATTGGTTTCCTTAGATGTGTCACTGGCTTCCTTTCCCTGCTGGGGACTGTCCTCTCCTGGAGGGATGAGGCCAGTTTCTTTCCACATCTCCAACAGGAAAAATATCAGTGGAGACCCTGCCTGAACTCACTCCATAGTTTTTGTCTGCAGGAAAACTCCCTGTGCTCCTGTTTCACCAGGCTTTGGATCTGCTGCTGCTTTTGTGCGATGAGCTGTAGAAACACAGTCTTCATGTGGCTTTGGTGGAATGTCATTGGCTACATCTCTTCAGAGGGAGAGATGAGCAGCCAAAAAGACATCACACATTAGTGTGGCCCAGTATGGCTGGTGCCTTTCCCCAGCGCTTCCTGGGGCTGGGAGCATCAGGAATGTGGCAGGAGTGGGGCTGGGCTTGGGTAAAATACATAACCATAGAGAGTTATAAAGGAAGATTATTTTGGGAGACAGTTTCCCCCAGCTAGGTTCGTGGAGATGAAAGCTTCCACCAGAGGTCATGGGTGCCTGGAGCTGATCTAGATCATTTTAATATAAGCGTATGCATATTCTTTAAAGTCTTTTTTCCCTAAAATTTCATTCAGGTAAACTCCATGGCTACCAAGGACAGTTACTGTCTTCATATGGAGAGCCTTGCTTTTGTTACGTGTCCAATAGGAGCTTGTTTTTTGAGATAAGTCCAATTTGATTAATTTCTTTCATCTGTGGAAAAGGTAATTTCTAAGTCACCCTTATTTTGGTCATTCATCAGATCTTGGCACCCTGAGTATCTCATACTGTTGCTCTTATGGAAATCCTGCCTAGAAAATGTTAGGCAAAATTAGTTTATCTTACCTAAACGTGTTTGGCCAAATGGACTTTGGTTTGAAACAATTCCTAAAATGCTACAGTTTTATAATGTAAGTGACCTGTTTTTGCATCTAGCTTCTCTAACCAGTATGGTTGTAAAATTAAGAGGTAGTAATGACCCCCTAAAACGAATCAGTAACACAAAGTAATGAGTGAGAGCATGAACCGGAACAGTTTGTTTTCTGATGGGAAGGAGGATAACTTCATGGAGGGCAAGTCTGAGGGAGGAGGAGGAAAGAAGAGTAGGAGGAGCCTTGTGAAAGCAGGGGCGTGAGCAGGACAGAAGGTGTCACATAGGCAGTCCTGGGGCCAGAGGAGTGATTCACATCCCTCAGTCACCACCATGCTCAATAGTGAAGGCTTGGTTTCAAGAGGCTTTAATTTAGCTTCCTGAGAGATTTAACCCCCTCAGTGTTTGAAGAGGAAGAGTCACCAAAGACGGATGCTGAAGACTTACCAGTATGAAAATATGCTGGGGCTTTGGGTCTTGGTGTATCCGTGGGAATATTTTGTGGTCAAAGGCCTGTATCTTTCACCTCTCTTCCCTGTTGTACTGACAAGAAATATCTTGGTGCACACGTGAGAGCTGAAGGCCAGCACTTGAGGATATTTTGAAGGAAGTAGCCCTAAAAGCACTGAGCAAGTCCATTTGTTAGTAAGGGAAACCTTAGTCCTGGGCACTGAGACAAGGAGGCACAAAAGCACGATGTAATCAGTTCTAAGTAACTTTAAGTTTGATGGCTTTGTAATGGAAAATAACTGCGGTGCTTGAAGGTAGCTGACATAGTTTTAGGTCCTTAGGACCTTAGTACAAAAAGTGCATGAAAAACAAAATAGAAAAACAGGACCTGGGGATGGGGAGTATCTGGGACTAGGGATGTCCAGGATGGGCACAGTTAAACTAACTGATAAGTAGAAGGACAGGATGATTGCTATGTCTGTAATGTTAATTAAGCTGGTGCTTCAAAGACTGCCAGAAGTGATGAAGATTGTTGGGAGAAGTAAACGACCCTTAAAGACCCCCATCACATTTGTGTATGCATGTGGGAAACTTTCTGGAAAATGATGGAATTTATGTGTAGCCTCATAAATATGTATGTATTCCCAGTGACCATATAAGAATGGCCTGCATGGCAATACAGGGACACACGTTAGGAGGAGCTATCCCTCGTGTCTCCTGCTTGTCAACTTGAAACTGTTGGTGAGTTTGTTCCTGGAGTTTTCTCTGAATCAGCACTGACCCGCCTCTTCATAATTTGAGAGAAACTGATGAAAGCAGTTGCCTATGAGATCTTTCTCCCTTCAGGAATGTGTGTGTGAACATACCTGTAGCAACAATGCATGCCAGTGAGGCATCCTTCCAACCATCTGCGTTTTAGATGTGAAAACCCTGGTGTTGGCTTTTTCAGTGACAAGTGCTGAACAGGATGAGCACAACAGGCATAGGTGCTTGTTTCCTTTTAGCAAAACGGGTATCCTAGAAGCTTCTTGTTCCAAAATGCAGCACTGGAAATTACTCTGTAAATTGTGAGACTTTACATGTTGTCACTCTCTTTTCAGCCGATTTGAGAAAATCATTATTCCACATCAGCAAGAATTGCTATTCTGCTTCTTCAGAAGAAATTTGTCACTGGTGACTATAAAAAGAGAGGCAACGCTTTCCTCTGCATGATTTTGAATAGGGCTGCTCAGACATTTAACAAGGCGTTTAAGACAGAAAAGTTATTGCCTGGATCATTTACACTTGTCTCAGGGAAGTTACACGAGGCTCTGTGATGCTTCATCCAAAAACCTTTGCTTATCATAGTTAGAACCCTATGGGTCAGAGAACAAAAGTGTCAGTCTTTGCTAACCGAAAACTAGTCTCACTTTGCCAAACCATCCATCTGGAGACCTTTAAACAGACACTTTTTAGCAAAGAAGATAGCGATCTGTTGGGCAACAGTCAACAGTTTTATTCAAACACAAAGCAAAGCCATCAGATAACTACTGTACTCCTTATCAGCTCTATTTCTACAATTCCAACCCTGCCATCCCTCTCTAATGCAATTTATATTATTTTGGTTACATGTTACTCCATGAAAACTGCAATCGAGTTGATGTAGGAGTGACTGGCACTTTCTGAATTTGACATTTGGAAATAGAATACCATTAGCACGGAAACTAGCCCAGATCTGAGACTGTGATGAGAAGAAATGTCTATGTATCTGCTAGGACTGACTTGCTTTTCATTGCAGGCTACAGATAGGTTTGTTCGGCTTGTGTTTTGTGTGACTATTCAGATGGTTCATGGAGAAATTAAGAGTTGTGGTCAATGGTTCAATGTCCGGCTGGAGACCAGTAATGAGTGGCGGCCCTCAGGGATCAGTGTTGGGACAGGTCTTGTTCAACATCTTAGTCGCTGACATGGACAGTGGGATTGAGTGCGCCCTCAGCAAGTTTGCCGATGACACCAAGCTGTGTGGTTCGGTTGATACCCTGGAGGGAAGGAATGCCATCCAGAGGGACCTCGATACGCTTGTGAGGTGGGCTGATGCCAACCTTATGAAGTTTAACCATGCCAAGTGCAAGGTCCTACACCTGGGTTGAAGCAATCCCAGGCACAGCTACAGGGTGGGCAGAGAAGAGATTCAGAGCAGCCCTGCGGAGAAGGACTTGGGGGCGTTGGTTGATGAGAAAATGAACATGGGCAGGTAGTGTGCGCTCGCAGCCCAGAAAGCCAACCGTATCCTGGGCTGCATCAAAAGGAGCGTGACCAGCAGGTCAAAGGAGGTGATCCTGCCCCTCTACTCTGCTCTTGTGAGACCTCACTTGGAGTATTGTGTGCAGTTCTGGTGTCCTCAGCATAAAAAGGACATGGAACTGTTGGAACAAGTCCAGAAGAGGCCACGAGGATGATCAGGGACTGGAGCACCTCCTGTATGAAGACAGGCTGAGGAAGTTGGGGCTGTTCAGCCTGGAGAAGAGAAGGCTGTGTGGAGACCTCATAGTAGCCTTCCAGTATCTGAAGGGGGCCTATAGGGGTGCAGGAGAGTGACTCTTCATTAGGGGTTGTAGTGACAGGACAAGGGGTAACGGGTTAAAACCTAAACAGGGCCAGTTTAGATTGGATATAAGGAAAAATTCTTTCCTGTTAGGGTGGTGAGGCACTGGAATGGGTTGCCCAGGGAAGTTGTGAATGCTCCATCCCTGGCAGTGTTCAAGGCCAGGCTGGACAAGGCCTTGGGTGAGATGGTTTAGTGTGAGGTGTCCCTGCCCATGGCAAGGGGGTTGGACCTAGATGATCTCAAGTTCCTTTCCAACCCTAACTGTTCTATGATTCTAAATAAATGGTGGAGCTAAGAAGGGCTAAGAAGCTGGTGGGGAATTTAGAGCACAGGTCTTAAGAGGAGCAGCTGAGGACTGGAGCACCTCTCCTATAGAGACAGGCTGAGAGAACTGGGGCTGTTGATCCTGGAGAAGGCTCCAAGGAGACCTTAGAGCAGCTTCCAGTGCTTAAAGGGGACCTAAAGAAATCTGGAGATGGACTTTTACAAGTCCTGTAGTGACATGATGTCATACTTTAAGCTGAAAAGTCCTTGATCAGAATAAGCATTACTTAGCTACAAGTAAAAACATCAGTGTGTTATCAGTGTTGCTCTCAGGCTAAAGTCAAAAACACAGCACTACATCGGCTACTAGGAAGGAAAAAAATGACTGCTACTGCTGAACCCCGGACACAGGACAAGGGGAATGGCTTTAAACTGAAAGAGGGTAGGTTTAGAATAGGCATTAGGAAGAAATTCTTCCCTGTGAGGGTGCTGAGGCCCTGGCACAGGGTGCCCAGAGGAGCTGTGACTGCCCCATCCCTGGCAGTGTTCAAGGCCAGTTTGGACAGGGCTTGGAGCAACCTGGTCTAGCGGGAGATATCGCTGTCCATGGCAGAAGGGCTGGAACTGGATGATCTTTAAAGTCCCTTCCAACCCCAAACACTCTGTGACTCTGATTCAGTGCTTCTCCATTTGTAAATATCTTGTAATAATACAAATCACAGGCTTTGGAAAGGATTTGCCGAACACAAGAGACAACTCTTGGCTTAACAAAAACTTCCTTGGTTGACTCAAAATGCTGAAAAATGCCTGCTTTTCAGTCTTACTTGGGTACGTTTATTTTTTTGGAGAAGGTACCTATGGGCAAGTCAGAAGAGCAGGGCCCTTATATCTAGATCACAATGATGCAATTTTAATTTGCATGTCCAGACTACTGTGTCTCAGCACTTAGTCTCTCCAGTGGGTATAAGATGAGGTCCCTCAGCACTGATTGCCACTGATGTGGTACTCTGCACCTCTTCATCATTAGCTGAATTTAAATCAACGGATCATTTGGGTCAAACAGCCATTCCAGAGCAGCACCTCCCTGTCCCAGTCCTACATGCTAGGCAGAGAACAAAAACTCTACATTTCTTTTCCACCTGAGCCACCTTGTGGGCCCTCCTCCTATAGCAGAAATGTTACTTGTAAGAGAAAAGACGTCATTCACGGTGTACATTTCAGCAAATAGTAATGGAAACAGATGAAGTTGGCAGTACTGTGGGACTTGAGCCATCACTGCTTGATCACTAGACCCTTCAAAGACCTCTCTGAAATGAATTTACGTCTTTTGATGTAGTTCCTAGAAGATCCACAGCCACACAGACACAAAAAAATGAAAATCTCAAAATTGAGCACCTGGACAGTACTAGCAGGCATGGAAAGGGATGACAGGGGTGCAGGAACAGAACTGCATCCTTGATTATCCCCAGTACTGTCAGGACTCTAAAATATATTCAGTGAAGTTCACTGACAGGTTTTCTTGACACTGCTCTCACAGTAGGAGGAAATCTGGGAAGTCACTAAGTTAGGCTTAATGTTACCTTCCAGCCCCTTACAGAGAAGCTTTTCTGTCTGTGGAGGTTGGAACCTTCCTCCTTCTTATTATACAAAACATCTTGAATGGTGCCCCAAGGGGCAATAATGCTGGGAAACTTTAGTCAGTGAAAATGCAGTTTTCGCACCATCAGAATGGTTTGAGTCAGAAGGGGCCTTTAAAAATCACCTGGTCCAACCCTTCTGCTGTGGGCAGGGACAGCTTCCACTAGAGCAGGTTGCTCAAAACCTTGTGCAGCCTGGCTTTGAACACTGCCAGGGATGGGGCAGCCACAGCTTCTTTTGCAAGGACTGAAGTGAAAAGAAGAGCTCAACAGAGTGGGATTTCTGTTCCCTTCACAGCCAGCCAGATGAGGCTTTGTTCCCAACCAAAGAGCATTTGGATGCTTCTAGGCTCCATCCTTATGTTTTTGAATCACATGTGACAGAACTAGGATGAACAATGAAAGCCTCAAGAAGCCAACATGGTGTGCTCCTCTCTGGGCACAAATTTCCCTGATCTGCTAATGCCACATCTCTGGCTACTCTGGAAAGGAAAATGCAGGAAAGAAAACACTTCTTGATGTTGATTTCCCGCATGTAAACAGTGGACTATTGTTCCCAGGGCTCCTTCCCAGGAGTAGAGGCCCAGCAGCAGACATGGTGCTCCAGAGGTGAGATGCTCTGAACACATAAACACAAGCAGGGAGCTTTTGACTGCACAGTCAAAGGTGAGGCCACATAGAAATATTCCTGCTGTGCTCATCTGAAGCGTGCCAAGCCCCAGCCTTGGCAGGCAGTGAGGTGTGGAGCTCTGAAGTTTACCTATTAAGTTTCTGGGTGGGTTGTCAAGCAGGCGGTGGGGAGGTCTGAGCAATGCTGGTCTCAGCACTGCTGTCACCAGACAGCCACTCAGTATGTTCAGTGATAGAGCAAAGTGCTCACTATAACCCATGCCAAGAAACGTGGGGTTAACACTTGGCTCCTGCCCCTGACATGTCCCACAGTTGGCAGCTTCCCAGCTTTTGAGGAATTCATCAACATGAAAGCAAACAACTGCCCCTTTTCCTGTTTGTTTTGCATTCACGGGGGCTGGTGCAGAGATTTCTCAGCTCCACCAGCTCCATGGCAGAG